AGATGGAGGTGCAGCCATTAATCTTTTGCCACATAGGTTGCTGAGCAAAATGGGCAGAACAGAGAAGGATTTAATTCCAACACGCTTCACTGTCACCAACTTTGCTGGGGGCATCACTAAAACCCATGGAATCCTGGATGTGGATGTCATAGTTGGAACCAAAGAGTTGAAGATTGCATTCTTCGTGGTAGACACCACTTCTACCACTTACAATGCATTGCTTGGTAGGGACTGGATTCACCAAAGCCTGCGTGTTCCCTCCACTCTCCATCAGCAACTAGCCCTTTGGAATGAAGAAGGATACATGGAAATAGTAGAGGCCGATCCACGGCCATTTCTACCTTCTGCCATGTGTTTTGAAGCAAGGTATTATCATGATGACCTTAGTCCTTTCACATTCTTTGGAGTCAACTAGAACGGCCGCCCCCATGATGTCACGGCCCAGAGACTCATTGAAGATGGTCTGGCTAGTTCTCTGGAGGATTGGAATAGACCCTTCATTCTGAACCTCCAGAATTCTGATGTTTAGTCTCAATCAACAGGAAAAGGATCGAGCTGCAACAATCCGATCCATTACAAAAAGATTGTTGATATATTGGGAGGAAAGGAAACTCTTCATGTAGAATCCAACCATCAATATGATAGAATTCACCCATGAGAGCACTGAAGAACAAGAAGAGAGTTTACAGGGGGAAATACTAGATTTTGCACCAGCAGCACTAGATGACTCTTTACCAGAAGTGGAAGATCCATTGCAGGAGATACACCTAGGGACAGAAGAGGATCCGAGACCTACTTTCATTAGTGCACTGTTGAAAGAACCACTCAGGAGTGAAATCATTGCACTCTTGCATAATTTTAGAGACTGCTTTGCTTGGCATTATCACGAAATGCCTGGATTAGACAGAAAATTGGTGGAACACAAGCTGCCAATCAAAGAAGGCTACCTTCCAGTCAAACAGGCTAGAAGAAGAATGTCCATGGAAACAGAACTAAAAGTCAAGGAAGAGATAGAAAGGTTGCTCAAAGCAGGATTCATCAGACCAGCCATTTATTCTGATTG